AAAAAAACCAATCACAGATCTACGCCGTGCTCTTGCCCAAGTAGTGACTTCTTTCGCGAGTGAACCTTTCTTCCTTGCTTTCTAACTGAGGGGTTTCGGCATTCAAAGTCAAAGGATTCACTAGTTTCTCGAGGAACTGGGCAAAAGAGGGAAGCTTAAGCTTTGGTAAAGAGATATGAGAGTGAGGCTAGCTTTGGGCATCCCTTACCTAAGCTCTAAGAGAAGGGATGTGTTTAGGTTCAGAAGCCATGATCGGTATAGTGAGGCTAGCTTTCCCTCTCTTTCTTCTCTCTTCTCTCTCTTTTTCTCACTCTCTCTCTTCCTTCCTCCCCTGTTTCAGATATAAAAGAGGAAGAAAAAAAAAAAAAAAAGAGAGAGCAAAACGCTGTCGTTTTTCAATTCAGGGCAATCGAGTCGCGATAAAATCGAGCTACCAAGCTTTATTCTATATAATAACAACAGCGCTTGGGGGTCCGACCCCCAGTGAGCTGTCCAGCTCTCATTCGCTGAAAACATAAAAAAAAAAAAAGAAAAACTGTTTTTTTCGCCCAATCACAGGGCGCCACCTCACTGGGGGTCGACCCCCAGTGGGTGTATGAGGCATTTCTGATATAATAATAGATTTTGTATTCCGTTCAAGTTCAGTTCGATTCTAACATTAGATTTTTATATTTATTTAAACTCGATTTAAAAAATAATTATTTATTTAAACTCGATAATAATGTTACACTCATCTAAGGCCAAGTTTGACATATTACAAAAAAGCTAAAAAGTCAAAAAGTTAAAAAGTTAACATTATTCACCAAAAGTCAACAATTACGGCTGCACAACTCCCAATCCTAATTTTTTTCTACAAATCAATTTTTACAATTTTTTATTACACATTTTTCCATAAAAAGTCAAAAAGTTAACCCAAACATCCATATTTTTTTTCTCAATTTTTTAATCTAAAAAGATAAAAAGTGTACTTATTTAAGACACTCAAAACAACCCCTAAAACTAAATTTTAAAAGGTCAAACCAGTGTAATTATTCATTAAGGGGGTGTTTGGCAATCAGAGGTTGAGGCTATTATAGCCTCTTTTGGAAAATTAGCCCAAAAGCCAGCACTGTAACACCTTTTTACTGACTTTCAAAAAAAAAAAAAAAAATAGGCTGCTGCCCGGACAGTATAGGCACATCCTACACTGTCACAGCCGGACAGTGTTACAGCAAGGGGCAAAATGCCCATTTTGCTCATTTATATCAATTTTAAAAATAAAAAGTTAGAGATAAATCTATCATTTTAAATTTAAACATCACTTCAACACACTTTCCAATACAACAACTCAACTAAAAATTTATCTCATCTTTCCAAACACAAAATTAAAATAGCCTACTAAAATAATCAAAAAGTTAAATAATCTACTAAAATAGTCATTTCCCAAACGAGGTCTAAATATTATTGTTATTGAGGGGCTGCCAGTGCCACGTTGTTTTTTTTTTAATTTTCCTGCATGTGTCGGCATATCCTAGACTAGATCACCATTCCAAATATATTCGGTGTTCCTCGCAAACACTACTATCTCTCTCTCAATTAACCAGATTCCGCCTATCTCCATGTTCACCCTCTCTCTATATCTATACATGTATACGCATGTATAAATCTACGGCGGAGCTGTGAACAGTCTAATTTCCCTTCACTGTTCGCTTCTACAGTGAAGGACCTTAGCTACCCAATTGCGTTTCTTTCATGGTTTGTTTATTTCCCTTTTTAATTTCTTGAATTGATACTTTTCTGTGGTTCTTCAGACCTTAATGCACAGTCTCTTTGTGTTTTCTCACTATTCTAATCAATTCAATTTCACCCATATTGTGGAAATAATCAAAACCCTAAACAGACAGCTTGTTTGTCTGTGTATGTTATGACCCAGGTTATCTTTGGATTAAATTTTGCTCATTTGATTGTTCAAAGTGACTGACAACCCTTTAATTTGAGATTGTTATGAGGAAATTTCTTTCTTTTGATGTGAATTTGTGAATTATTTGATTACTTCTTTGAATTGGGAAAGGACCCAGTATTTATTATGTCAAGAATTTGATTCTGAATGCAGAAATTGAGGAACACAGCTAATAGGCAAACTTCTATTGCAATGGGAGAGTTCAATGCTGCATCATATGTGGCTGTCAATGAAACACCTTCTCCTAGGGTAAATAGTGTTAGGAAAGTCTCAATTTTGCCCCTTGTTTTTCTCATCTTTTATGAGGTATCAGGGGGGCCATTTGGGGTTGAGGACTCTGTTCAGGCAGCTGGTCCCCTGCTAGCCCTTCTCGGGTTTTTGATATTCCCGCTCATATGGAGCGTACCTGAAGCCCTAATAACCGCGGAAATGGGTACCATGTTCCCAGAAGATGGTGGCTATGTGATTTGGGTTTCGTCTGCTTTGGGTGACTATTGGGGGTTTCAGCAAGGTTGGGTGAAATGGCTGAGTGGGGTCATTGATAATGCGCTCTACCCAGTTTTGTTTCTTGACTATTTAAAATCGGCAATCCCAGCATTAGCTGATGGTTTTCCAAGAGTCGTAGCAATATTGGCTTTGACTGCTCTCCTCACTTACTTGAATTATAGGGGTTTAACCATTGTGGGATGGGCTGCTGTTCTTCTAGGTGTACTCTCACTCCTTCCATTTGTAATTATGGGACTTATTGCAATCCCAAAAATAAAGCCTGCACGATGGTTAGTGGTAGATTTTCAGAGTGTTGATTGGAATTTGTATCTAAACACTCTTTTTTGGAATTTGAATTACTGGGATTCGATAAGTACACTTGCTGGAGAGGTGGATCATCCAAAGAAGACTCTACCAAAGGCTCTGTTCTATGCTTTGATCCTAGTTGTTTGTGGGTATGTTTTTCCCCTACTAATTGGTACGGGAGCTATACCACTTCACCGTGACTTGTGGACTGACGGGTACTTCTCAGATATTGCTAAGATGATAGGTGGAGTATGGCTGCGAGTTTGGATTCAAGGGGCTGCGGCAATGTCTAATATGGGGATGTTTGTGACCGAGATGAGCAGTGACTCTTTTCAACTTCTTGGTATGGCTGAAAGAGGGATGCTTCCTGAGTTTTTCGCCAAGAGATCTCGTTATGGAACTCCTCTTGTTGGGATCTTATTTTCGGCTTCCGGAGTGATTTTGCTTTCATGGCTGAGCTTTCAAGAGATTGTAGCTGCAGAAAACTTTTTGTATTGTTTTGGAATGATTTTGGAGTTCATAGCATTTGTAAGGTTAAGAATGAAATACCCAGCTGCATCTCGGCCTTACAAGATACCTTTGGGAACTGTTGGATCCATTTTGATGTCTGTTCCTCCGACCATATTAATTTGTATCGTGTTGGCTCTTTCTTCACTCAAAGTGATGGTTGTAAGCCTTGTTGCTGTTGTGATTGGTCTAGTGATGCAGCCTTGTCTCAAGCAAGTTGAGAGAAAGAGATGGCTTAGGTTCTCCAAAAGTTCTGATCTACCAGATCTTTGTGGTACTGCTCGTGAGAATACTGAATCCCTAATTGAATAAGCCATCCTTATTGTTCTTGCCCATATAGAGCATTGATTGAAGATGCAAACTTCATGCTGAGAAGATGCAACTGCAGCATTCAATATATTCCAAGAGAAGCTAACCAATGTGCAGATGCACTTGCCAACATTGGAGTTAACCAAACAGAGCACCTTGTCTTCTTAGATGACCCACCCAGTTCTATCATCTCCTTTTTATTTGCGGACATGGTGTCTGCTAGTTCAAGGAGGGTCTGATCCTCCTTTTGTTTATTTGCTTGTACTAAACTCTCAACTCTGTTTTCCTTTCATTTGAATCAAAAAAGAATAAGTCATCCTTATTCACCCAAAAAATAAGTCATCCTGGTTCTCTTTTTGTGCAATGAAAAACATACAAAAATGGTTTGAGCTGCCAACACGGGGAATATTGTGTCTTCATGAAGCTTTCGAAAAGTTCCCAACGGACAACATGATTTCCATGGTAACTTTTCTATCTCATCAAGCTGTTTGCCTTGTTTTGATGCTTATTACTTGTTGCCTTGTTTACCATCTTTGATTTTGGAGGGGCAATAGATGGGTAATGATGATTGATTTAGAAATAAAAACTGTTGAATGTACAATGAAGTTGGTTGAATCTAGTAGATTGCGACATTGTGTACAATTTTAATTACACTATTACTTCATTTTGCATCTTCATTATAGTTTATATGAAATACGAAATGTAACACTTCGGAAAGATATTGATAAATCCAAATCGGTAAATAACACAATAGTTAGTTCACTTCTTTCTTAAAAGTAACTACTGAAATGAGAATTCAACTACTGGAAATAAAAGCCTCTAGGATTACAGAGCGAAGTTCTTCACTGTGGACATGACAGTAACTTCCACTTGGACAATCAAAGTATCATTAATGAGGAAGCCCTTGGAGGTCTTGCGGAGATCAGTTAGCAACGAGAATGAAGGGAAGCCATAGCTGGTTTCTGAAGCAGTGAACCAGTAACCATCTGCAAAACAATAGTTGGGTAGTTGTTATTTCTTTCTTATTTGATCCAAAAAGATCCAATGTAAAGGCAAAGCCCTTTCTAATCTCTGAAAAACGAACAAATCCAAATGGGATATGAATAGTCATATGAAGTTGGTTAACTCAGATCGCTAGATAAACAAAAACGGTGAATACATATGCATGAAACTTCACCCGTCATTTCTTGATGCTGAGAATTATGGTATTGGGTTCCTTATGCAGAGACTGAATTCTGCATAAATTTTTCTTTCGGAAGGAAGGGTTTCCTAATTATGTAACGCCCACAAAATAAGATACAAATAAGCCATTACATAAGATTTATAAACATAATAAAATGATATACTTCATTCATCAGAGTTTCTATTACAAAAAGATATTACATGTGTTATACATTCATAAATATTTATTCTGAATCTACAACATGTAATACAAGTTAATAACAACAAAATAAATGTTTTACGAGCTTACATCTTTTCAAGATATCACTTGGTTACAACAAAAGAAAGACTCTTAAGTTCTATACATGTAAAGCCCTCGGCTTAAATGAACACTTAAGCACAAATAAAATCAAAATAGAGCCTTCAGCCCTTAGTCCTCCCAAGCTATGTCCTTGGAGGTGGCATATCACCAGTACCTGAAAATAATTTCCCAAGTAGGGTGAGCTAAAGCTTAGCAGAGATAAACTAACACAGTATATGAGGTTTAACTAAGATATAAGTGTCAGATAAATGTTCAATATTCATAACTAACATATATTCTTTCCATGACCATTCAATATAGATAACCATATCTCAATCCATTTCTTTTCATTCGTTTCGGGTTAATCTAATAACCAAATTCATTATTATCCAATCAATCACAATGAGACTACAACTCAATGGTTCACCATTCAATACATACATCACTCAAACACTTCTATTTTGCCATTTTACGGAATTCTCATCCGAGGGAACTAGCACCCATATATACATAAGATTTCGGGACTTTCACCCTGGATACTTTGGCCAACTTAATTTTAAATGGAGTCCATCTTCTATCTCCTTTCAAACAATGGAGTACATCTCTTTCTCCTCCCAAACAATTATACATATATAATGTATTAAAACAACGTCATATACAATAACTATCCACAACACATATTTATTGTTTCAATCATACCGTCATGTTCGATGACATAATTTAAATGGTAGGTTTCAATTCACCTAACCCTCATGTAATTTCTACAACAATCATAGCTATCTTCCACAGATAGCTCAAAACAGATATTTCTAGACAGATAGAAAATCTTTATAACAGATAATTAATCAAATTTCTATAGGTGAGTGATTTAACAAATACAACTACACCATTCATTCATACATTCTCCCAATTTCACATTTCTTATATTAATTTCATTATTTATACAAAATAATTATTTAATTCATTTTAGTGCAAATTCTCATTTTTTCAAATACCAACCCAAAGGCTAAATGCTCACCATTCTAACACTAGAGAATCTCATATACAAGCCCCATAGCCATTTTGCAAAACCAACATGGAAAACTCCTCTTTCAATTTTTTGAATCCAAACCCTAACTTATTCCAAACCTCCCAAATCCCACCATTTATACAAAACAACAAATACCTAGGTTAAAAACCATATTAAGGTGTAGAATATCCCTATCTCAAGTATAGAAGCCCAAAGGAGAAATGGAAGAAACTTTGAAGATGACCAAACTCCACCTTTTTCGGATCAAATGGAAGCCCATGAGGTGCTCTACCTTTTTCTCAAAGGGAGTAGAGTAGAGACCCTTAGATTCTAGGGGATTTGTAGAGAAAAGTTGGGTTTTAGAGAGAGAAAAAGCCGTTTAAGGGTTTTTTGTGAGAAAAGAGATCAAAAAGTGATGTAAAAATGCTCTGTTGCGAACTGCTATACGCGAGGCTCGCTCGATCGAAGGAGTTGTCGCTCGAGCGAAGGAGTTGTCGTTTGAGTGACCAGACACAACAAATGACCTTGCTCGAGCGCAAAAAGGATCGCTCGAGCGTAGAATGCAAAGCTTCAGAAGTTTTACAGACGCACACGCTCGCTCGAGCGCAAGAAGCCTCACTCGACCGAAGAACTTCATCTTCCCAGAATTTCTACGTCTGGGAAAGAAACCTGAGGACTCTCGAATCTTGCTCGAGCACAAGAAACCTCGCTCTAGCGAAAAAGCAAATTTCACAACACTCGAGCGCAAGAAGCCTCGCTCGAGCGAAGAAGCCAAAATCTGGGCAACAATAATCTAGACCAACCAACAATCAACTTGTTCCAAACACACCCAACATGTTCCAAACTCAAATTCAAAGAGTTAAAGGAGGGTACAAGGCATGGATACAATATTAAACCATGAAACCCAAATCCGGAATGTAACAAAAGGTCGGGTCAAAACCGGGATCGCTATAAATTATCTAACTCTAGAAAGAAGGACAGGTACTTTTCATCTGAATGTCCTTTGGGATAGAGCCATATCTTCCTGGAGTCATTGCAAGAAATCATGGAAAACATATATTGTTAGATTGATTCAATCTACTTACTGGAATTGAGATGAGCTACAATCAATGAATATGCTTACCAATTGCAACTTTCAGCAGTGAAGATATCAGAGTTGAGTTTCTCCATCTAGAGACGAAAAATTATCAATCTTCCAAAGTATTAGTAATGTCGAGTTCCTTCACTAAGGTCAGACACTCTCCTCTGCCAGTATAATTTATAAAAAAAACTTCTGCTTCAAACAAACACGTGTTGCGAAGGAGGTATCCACTAGCAGCATCATGGAAATCACTGAGAGGGAGTAATTAGGCGAAACCCCACCCTGTTTTCATTCCATGAAAGTGTCTTACCTTCCCATCAGCATCTGAGCATTGAAATAGAAGAAAGAAAAATCAGCTGAGGATGAAAAATTTAGAAGCCTCAACCAGTAAGAAAGGAAATCAACTACCTTGGATGGTCACGTACTTGTCTTGAATCTGATCATACACAAACAATTTGAAGCTGACATTGACCTCCCAACCTAGAGGTAAATTACTTGTCTCTGCAATTACCAAGTAGAGAGAGATATGTCCTCCTTTTCTTTCTTTGTCACCATTTGGGTAGAGAGACAGTTTCCTTCCAAGTTCAACATGAAAAGAGCTGAGAATCAGCTTATGGGTATCTCAACAAGGCCTTAGAAATAAAGAGTTTACCAACTCAACCATTTGTAGCCACTGGCTTCGAAAATGTCTGATTCATAATTCTGCACTTCAGTATTTAAGAGTACTTGTGAGAGTAGTGAGAATCAGTTGATCTTGAAAATGTAGTGAGCTGGTCGTATGTCTCTTGATCTTGATATTTCTGCAAAATGTTGAAGAGATAAAATGTGAAATTACTTTGAAACATCTAGTTTGCTTTGTTTCCATACATTCAATTCAACTTCTACGGAGTGTATTTTCACCAAATTATAAATATTGTTCATGTATTTATCAATAAAAAAAACTAGAGTGTAATTGAAACATTCAATAGTTACTTGATTACAATTACATCGTTGATTAGTTTTATAATTTTTCTAGTGATCATTAAAATGTGTATTGATGACTACATGATTCTGTGACATAGACTGACAGTACTATTATCTTAACTATTAAGATTTTGAGTTGAACTATTCTAGAAATGGTTGCCCTTTTTAATGTTAGATTTATTGTATGATTATGGGTACATGTTGATGAACTTTTTTAAATACACACATGCATTAATATTTGAAAATTATCTATTATTAATAAATAAATAAAAAAAATGAAAGTATGGATGGAAATCTCTAAAGCCTGTAAGTTTTCTAATCACAATCGTTTGGTGAGCTCATACAAATTTTCTCTCTCAAACACATCCGCCACATATTATGTCCTTCAACTTGGGTGGTGCTCTTGTTTCTCTCTCTCTCTCTCTCTTTCTCACACACACACACACACACACACACACATTTCTGCAGAATAATAGCTATAAACACTAATGCAAGAAGAGACTAGTTTACTGACAGTTAATACAGTTGTAACAAATAACAAATAATCTGTTAAAACAGTTAAAATGAGGGAATTAGTGATACGTTGCTAGTTAGTATGTTATAATTGGATAATATTTGTTAGTGATGGATGAGGAATGCTATAGTGTAAATTAGGAGAGAAATGTATCAGAAAGGGGATCTAATTGTATTGAATTTGTGCTAAATTGTTCTTTCAATTATCTGTCTCTCTGCTCATCTTCTTCCCCCATACTCCGTTTCTCTCTTCTTCCCTTCTTAACTGTGTTTTCAAGTTCTCTTTCTTGCTTTCATATTTCTATATGCATCATCCAAGAGACGGTCGCTCGTTCATATATATATATATAGAAGGGGGGTACCAGAGTTGCCATTGTTAAGAGGGATAGGATGGAATGATGATTTCTTTGCCATGTTATGATGCCCCGATTCTACACTATTGGTTGTAGGCAAGGGAGAGTCACTGCTGAGTCTTATGGTCAATAACCAGATAAAATCCCAGATCGCCGAAGGAGTCAAATTAGTCTCTCTTTTAAGTCCAGCTTTCTTATGCAGCGCACTACCCTTTTGACAGATTCTAACAAGTCTTGACACAAGGTCTCATAAGTAACGATAAAGTGTATACCTCTGATTATATTGAATATAAATACATAACAACCACAAATATCCTTAATTGCAAAAGCTTGTTCCATTACATTACATCCCAAAAAGGAAGTTTAAATCTTCATACGAGTCTTACAAAAATATTAAAAGAGAAATTTTTAACTTTACTAAGATAGCTAAAGGTCTTCGAAGGTTTCAGGCTCGTCGTCTCCAGCTATATGTTCCTCTTCGGCACTTGGCATAACACGTTGTGAGCTTTGAATGCCTAGTAAACACACTCACATCCCATCCCTTTTTCCCGAGTCCAATACACAATCACAAATATAACATCAAGTAGTAAAGCATGATACACAAATAAATGAATAAATAAATGGTTACAAGTTAGATGTTAGTAAACTAGAAATCCTCCAAAGAGATTTCGTCCTCCCAACCACAAGAATAGGACGCGGATTATTCGGTATGCCCCCTCTTTTGCTACTTTGTTGCAGAACTAACCTCGGATGCCTACCAATGGTTATATACCTCGTAGCGCCAACTGCAGGGTCTCAAAAGAGACGGTAAGATAGGGCCTTGCCCAAATCCCTCCTCACATCAAACCACCTAGGGTCTGAATACAACCGCTCTGTTCAAGGGTTCCGAAAACCGCTTGCGCAAGACTTTGACTTCCAAATAGGGAACGCATCCCAAGAATCCATACATCACATTTTCTCATCTTCCATTGTTTCAAAGGACCGAAAACCCAATACCAACCCAGTAAAGTTTTCCGTTGAGTTACATGTTTAAAATCAAGGTTAGATTAACTTAACAAGATCAAAATATCCACATAAGCATGCATCATTAAGATGAAGGAGATAAGAACATAACCATAACACATATAATATCATGCTGAGATATGATCATAAGCTAATAAACATTTTCATGAACACAAGCGCTTAAAACATCCATGCTCAACAAAATTCCCAGATTCAATATCATATAAAGATTAGAATAAAAAGGCTATTTTAGAATGTTTTTACCGGACTCGGCCTTCCTATGGCTCGTAGAGAATTTAATCTAGTTTTCAGAACATATTTCGGAAATGGAATAGCTTTTCTAGATTTTAAGTTATTTAGAAAACACTCCAGCGCTGTCCAGTTCGTCGACTGTTACGAAAATTTGATTTTCTTGCAACCCGCTCACTGTTTTTCCATGAAACCAATTTTAGTGGAAAACTAACTCCTTAAGGAAGATTTTGACATAAGATAGAGGTCCAGAATAATTTTATACATTTCTCTAGAATTTTTGAAAGTTGGCTGCGAAACAGATTCTAAGGCACCATACTCGAAATAAGGAGATTTGTGAGAAAAGGGATCCATTAAGGAAATGTTTTTTTCTTTTGTGATGAAACCATGCTAACTAACATATATTAACCCAGAAAATTTGCTTGGATGTGTGCCTTTGAAAAGTTTGGGAGATTGGTATGAGTAGGATAGTTTTGTACCGAAATGAGGGAAACCACAAGAGAGGGAAAGTCGTGGTTCAACTTTTATCATTCTTAACACAAATAACTCATCAATAACACATTTGAAAATATTATTTAGAACCCTTAAGAATATGTATTTGAAAAGGGAAAATGAAAGAGAAGGTTGTGTTGTGGCTTACTTGCTAAGCTTTGAACAAGATGGCTCTCTTCTCCCTTCCTCTTCCTTTCAAGATTTCTCTCTTGTTCTCCTTCCTCTCCTTTAGTCGAATGTGTGTCTGTGAGAGTGTTGCTAGTGTTTGCCATGCTAGGGAGTGGTGATATTTATAGGCAAATTTGGTGTAACATGGCATAAAAGCCCACTGGTTGAAATTGAAAGGTCAAGTTAGGATTTACTTGTCATTAAAGCCCACTAGTTGAAATTGAAAGGTCAAGTTAGGATTTATTTGTCATTAAAGCCCACTAGTTGGAATTGAATGGATCACTAGTTGGAAAATGAATGGACACTAGTCGGAATTGAATGGACTATTATTTGGAAAATTTAATGGACCACTAGTTGGAAAATGAATGGACCATTATTTGAAAAATTTAATGGACCACTAGTTAGAAAATGAATGGACACTAATTAGGATATTCCTGTTTCGATAAAAAAAAAATGTTAATTGACAAGATTCAAAATAATTTTAATAACTGAGAGGCTTAAAGCAATAATTTAAACATTATTTTTTTTTAAAGCGACTACATTTTCAGGGCTTCACATATGTTCTCTGCCTCTGCCCACAGTACTTGGGCAAAGACTTCATTACTAAAGTCTATTGCAGAGTCTGCACCAAGCTTTGTGCCAAAAGGCAAAAACAATTTAAAAAAAGCAAACCCATTAACGTCTGCTTTAGCATCCTCCTATTATTATTTTATTTTATGACTTCTGTTCATGTGTGCCTAGTTATGCCAACCACAAAAATGCAACCACTTCAACAAATTTGTGACAACTTGATTAATTTAGGGATGTGATATCCTGTTGTAGGGATGTAAATAAGGGTCATCTGCCTGGATCACCGAGTATTGGGCTGCGAAAATGGTGCTGAAGTCCACCTGCAGGTTATGCCTAGCGGATTTTTTGACAGACCGGGCTGGCTCGGTCTAGGGCAAAAAAAAAAAAAAACCTTATCAATTTCATTCAAAGTATCCTTCACTTTAGTGATAAGTTAAGTGTTTCTGATTTAATGCTTTTAATTTTAAGCTAAATTATGTTATCAAGTAGAGCTTCAAAGAATTGATAGCCATGGGGTTTAGTTATATTTGATTGATTGATGGTATTATTATCTCAATTATTGAGGTTTTCAGTTTAACTGTGATTATGTATTGGTGAATTTTCTCATATAATTAAATTTCCAATCATAATTCATACAATATTTGCAAATTATTTGACAAAAATAAAAAATAAAAGCTCAAATTGCCTAGGCCTCTCAAATTTTTTTAAAACCCATATGAGATGTAGGTTTATGTATGGCCTCCAACAAATTCTTAATTTGTTTTCAGTCATCTGGTAGAAACAAATAATTGAAATACTAAATTTCTTGAACACATGACCTAACAAAAATTATTGTAAATCACTATAAAAAATATAAAATAAAATAAAAAATCTCGAAACTTATTGCAAATTTTGATATATTCAACACCAAAGGGGAAAAACAGAAAAATAAAATAAAATGACAAAAGCTAAATTTATTTAGTTAGTTAGGTTAGAAAAAATCAAAAGAAAATATATAGGTATGTCGAAAAAATCATTTTTATTGTTTGGTTATTCCAAAAAAAAAAAAAACCTGAATATTTGTTTTCTTTCATATTTTCCCTTGTCAAAACAAAGAACCAAACGAAGCATCAAGGGGTACATGTTTGGCCATCAATCTATAATTCCAGTCAATTTCTGTGACATGGAGAAGTTTTTCCATGTCCCAAGGGTAGAACTACCTTCTTCTCGAAATCGACTATATGAGGAAATAACAGGGCCATGGCATTTGCTTATTGGTCTGTGGCGTGGTGTGACGACCTAGTGCCCATGGCCACCGAATATTTTTTTTCATATGAAGGGTACATAAAACATTTTCTAGAAATTGTACATAGTTAAATATAGGGTTGACTTTTTCCCAAACCGCATAGATGCGGGCGGGTCAAAACCGAACCGCAAACCGCACAAAACCGATCCGCGAACACCCCTAAAAAATTATTGTAAATCACTATAAAAAATATAAAATAAAATAAAAAATCTCGAAACTTATTGCAAATTTTGATATATTCAACACCAAAGGGGAAAAAAAGAAAAAGAAAATAAAATGACAAAAGCTAAATTTATTTAGTTAGTTAGGTTAGAAAAAATCAAAAGAAAATATATAGGTATGTCGAAAAAATCATTTTTATTGTTTGGTTATTCCAAAAAAAAAAAAAACCTGAATATTTGTTTTCTTTCATATTTTCCCTTGTCAAAACAAAGAACCAAACGAAGCATCAAGGGGTACATGTTTGGCCATCAATCTATAATTCCAGTCAATTTCTGTGACATGGAGAAGTTTTTCCATGTCCCAAGGGTAGAACTACCTTCTTCTCGAAATCGACTATATGAGAAAATAACAGGGCCATGGCATTTGCTTATAGGTCGGTGGCGTGGTGTGACGACCTAGTGCCCATGGACACCGAATATTTTTTTTCACATGAAGGGTACACAAAACATTTTCTAGAAATTGTACACAGTTAAATATAGCACATAATCCCTGACTTACATTTTTAACACTTAGAAGGGTAGTTCAATTGTTGTTTCCCAGAAATATTACCATTAACATACGTTTTCAACATTTAGAAGGAAGAAATAAAACAATACAATAATAGTGAATTACTACAGAGATAAAAGCCTCAATTATGTATATGTTTACTCTGAGAAATTCTTCACTGTGGATGTGACAATAACTTTAGCTTGAACAATTAAAGTATCATTCACAAGGAAGCCCATAGAAGCATCATGAAGGTCAGTTAACGACAGGAATGAAGAGACACCACCGGCGAAGTTTGAAGCAGAGAAACAGTTGGAAGCTGCAAAGAAAACAGTTGGCCAATCATTGTTTGATTACTATAAAGATCCATGTAAATGCAAAGCACTTCATTATCTCCAGAGAATAAATGAAATGTCATACTTATTTTGAACATAAAAAGGAATAGGTAAAGCTATCAGCATGCTGTCAGAGACACATGAGATATCCAAATGGATAAAAAAAAAAAAAGGATGGAAATTTAACATTCATCACCTGTAAATTCCACATGCTGGTCATTGTATTGGTTCCTAATGCGCAGACTGAATTTTGAATATGTTTTTCGTTCAGAAGGAAAGGTATTCCAATTATCTAACACTAAATATAGGGACAACCATTTGTCCTTTTCCAGTGAATCTCCTTTGGGATAGAGCCATAGCTTCCTAGATTTGTCAAGAGTACGCCATTAAAAGCAGTTATTTGTCAGATTAACAATAGGAGAAGCGAAATTAATGATGGCATACCACTTATGATTTCCAATAGTGAAGACATCTGAGAAATGAATTTTGCCATCTAGAGATGAGAAGTTATCAATCTTCCAAGTGTGAGTATTGTCAAGTTCCTTCCCTAAGGTCAGACACTCTCCTCTGCCAGTATAATTTATAACAAAAACTTCTGCTCCAAACACGCATGTGTCTCGAATGAGGTATCCATTGGCAGCATCATTGAAAGTACTGAGAGGGAGTAATTGGGCAAAACCCCACTCTCTTTTCATCCCATGAAAGCGTCTTACCTTCCCATTGATATCTGAGCATTGAAATAGAAGAAAAAATCAGCCAAGGATGATAATTTAGAAGCCTCCAGCAAGAAGAAATGAAATTGATTAGTTACTAAAGAAATTAACTACCTTGGATAGTCATATACTTGTCTTGAATTTGATTATACACAAACAATTTGAAGTTCACATTGACCTCCCAACCAAGAGGTAAATTTCTTGTCTCTACAATGACCAAGTAGACAGAGATGTGTCCTTCCCCTTCTCTTTCTTTGTCACCATTTGGGTAGAGAGACAATTTCCTTCAAGTCAACACAAAAGAACTAAGAATCAGCTTGTGGGTATCTCAACAAGGTGAAGAATGAATGTTTAGAAAGAGTATACAAACTCAACCATTTGTAGCCACTGGCTTCGAAAATGTCAGATTCATAATTCTGCTCTTCAGTATCTGTTAGTATTTGTGAGAGTAGTGAAAATCGCTCGATCTTGAAAATGTAGTGAGCCGGTGGTATGTCTCTTAGTGATCTCGTTACTTCTGCAAAATTTTGACCCAAAAAAATGTGAAATACTTTGAAGTATCTAGTTCGCCAAATTATAAATATTTGTTCATGTATTTATCACTAAGCATACATGTTGTCATCAATAAATAAAAAAACAAAAAATTCATCTACGAGTGTAGTTTTGACATTTGAGCATTCAATAGTTGCTTAAATACACTTCAATTGTTGATTAGCGTCGTAGTTTTGGCAGTGATTATTAAAATTTATGTCAATTAATTAGATTTAGTGACATCTGATTGATAATATTACTAACTGCTCTAAAGATGAATAGCGTTTTTAATGTTAAATTCATTGTATGACCTATGGATGTGTTGATAAACTTTTTAAATAAATAAATGTGTTATCATGATATTTAAAAATTATCTACTATTAATTGAAAAAAGAAAAAAAAAGAAGGAAGAGTATAAAAAAAAGAAAATTATCTCCTACCAATTGAAATATAAATCATTGCAATTTGTAAATGAGTAAAATGCATTTTTTTTTGCATCACAAAAAGCATAAATTGTTACTAGTTTTCAAATCACATTCATTAGCAGACCTCATCAGTACAAGTGATTTTTTCATAACTATTGAATGATATTATCCAGATTCTCCATTTTAATCATTAATCATAAATGGAGAGGATCTCAATCTATATAAACATACATATACTAATGACATATAAACATTGGGAGATGGTCTAATTCCCATTCACTTCAATAACAGATCTACAACATACAAACACACAGACAAATACAACCTTCTATATCTTCAACCTGTCATAGATACATAGGTGGATGAATCTGTCACCAAGGCTTATCAAGAAAATCTGAAAAAAAAAGAAAAAAGAAAAAAGAAAAAACTTGTTTCTCTCATTACTCTGGAAAATTCTAGAGAGAGAGAGAGAGAGTACCAGAGTTGCCATAGTCAAGAGGGATAGCATGCCATGAATTGTGGTCCATGTTCTCTGTCTCTGCATCAGATTTGGATGAAAACTTCATTCCTAAGTCTACTGAACAGTCTGCACTGAAGCAAAGCCTTTGTATAAACAAAATGCAACATTTGCTGAATGGAAGAGTGAGTGATTAATAAAAAAGCTGAGAATGCATAAAGGCAAAAGCAATTAAAAGCAATCCCATTAAATGGTTGCTTTATTAACCTTTTATTCTAGAATAATGCCATATGCACCCATTGATATACTAATTAGTGTATGTGGCATAATTTATTTTATGACTTTTGTTCATACATAAAAGCCTACCACAAAAACCGTTCCACTTCAACAAATTTGTGACAACTTTGATTGATTCATGTGTTTCATTTAAAGCTACTAAACGGTATTCCAAACTGACTACAATAATAATATAATGACCATATTTATATATCATAAAGTGTTTACTATCTCGTTTTATTATTGTAATGGTTTAAAGGGCTGCATTACTAATATGTGATAACACATCTGATAATAAATAATTTATATGATACATAAATATAATCATTATAGTATTATTGCCCGCCAATTGGGGAAAAAATTAATTAAGAAAAGAAGAGGCATTACAAAAAACAATAATACTAGGTATCATGAAAGAAGTATCATGAAAAGTCTTCATGAAGAATCTCCACCCTTGGATTAGTTTATAGTGTTTGTAATATTTTATTATATGTTATACAATCACCCTTGGATTTGTTTCATGAAACTTTTCATGATATTCTTTTCATGATGCGTAGCATTACTCTACAAAAAAACAAAGTGCTGGCAAGGTGTCAACAATTGGACTGCGTTTGGATCTTAAGTTTGAGTAGGGATTTGTGGAAGGAAAAGAAAAGAGAGAAAAAAGGACAAAAATAAAGGGTAAAATTTTGTCACTTCTAATCTATTTCAGCTTCAAAGATCTCACAGTATCGATTCCAAAAATGAAATTTTCAACAGAGAAGCAACCCACTCTATCTTTGATTTCACCCAAATAGCAGTCCTCACCTTAATTAGCTCCACTAGATCATCCCAATTCACCTCAGTTCCATTGAAGACAACCACATTAGTAGTCCAATGAGACCACATAATTGCAAAGAACAGAGATTCCCAAATTTGTCTAATCAAATGCATTTCAAACAATCCTCAGAGTTCCACCTCACAATGACATTGTCCCAGTAATTTGTGAAGCTCAACCAGTGAATTTTCTTTTCCCATTCAAACAAGTTAAGAAACTCAAGAGAACTTTCCCAAACCCATACATCAGACCAGAATTTAATTCAGAAAATGATATTATGGTTAAGCTTTGAATTGAAGTTGAAGTAGTAGACTTTAAAAAAACTGGATGAAATGAGCTTGAATTGATAAATAACAGTAGCTAGTTGACAGAATAATCGTAAAGATATTGCAGTATCTTCTTGAAAATAACTACTGAGAATTGAAATAACTACTGAGAATTAAACTACTGAAACGAAAGCCTCAAGGACTACATAGTGAAGTTCTTCACTGTGGACATGACTGTAATTTTGCATTGGATAATTAAAGTATCTTTGATGAGGAAGCCCTTGGAGGCATTGTTGGCACATAAATTTTAAACCAAATTTATGTTTAAATTTCAAATACAGTCAATGACACACATAGAGCCTACAATAAGATTGTTGTAGGCAATCACTTCCCAAAATGATTAACTTGTTCCGTTGAAGTGTATAAATAAAACAACGTCGTATCTTAACGACGTTATTCAAGATGCTCAAATGACACGTGGAGCCTACGAAAAATGACACCTGTAGAGCCTACAGCAAAGACATCACACAGGATGAAACCCCAAAGATCAATCCGTTTAATCAGATATACGATTAATCAGATAGCGCTATTATTCAAAATTCAAAT